TAATTCAACTCATATAACAAATGATTCAAATTTTACAAATAAATTTGTTTTTCACAAAACAAGTAATTATCTTAAATTTGACAAACGTCATGTTTTTTTTTCAACTTTCAAAATAAAACATTTGCATCCAATATAACCAGAAAACAACCCATGGCTCAGATACCACTGTCGTTTTTGAGCATTCTAACACTCCTATGGTGTACATGCAACCCTATAAACCTTAGATCTATGTTTTTCTCTATTATACATGCAAATATTAACTATTCCAAGGTTTCATCCTAACTAGCATATTATGAAGCACCTATACTACAAAGTTCTAGTTAGATGACATACCTTTTGATGTCGCTTGATGTCTTCAAGCTTTAAGAGCTTAGCCCCATAGTGTGGAAGCCTCAAATGGAATCACAAATCACCAAAACACCTTGGAAGAACTTGAGAGAATAGTATGCACACTAAAATAAAATCGGCCCACTCTTATTTTCACACACTTGTTGTAATTTTGTGAGCCAAGGACCCCTTTATATATTATGGAGGATTAGGGTTACATCCATGTAAACCCTAATACCCATGACCTTTCATTTACATAGGATCCATGGGTTAAAAGCTCCATGGACCATCCATGAAAGCTTAGCCCAACCTAAATGAACTTGGCCCATTCCATATATATAAGAGTCCATATTTAATTAGTTCTTTTTGATCACTTAATTAATTCTAAATTAATTCTTGATCAATACTAATTAAATAATATGATTCCATATTAATATATTAGAACTTATAATATATTAATATAAATCATAAATATACTATTCTCAAAAGACTATCCATATAAATTTGTGCCGGTGAAGTGCAACCCAAATGGACCATGCCGGGTCGGGTCAAGTACATACCAAATATAGTTATGGACTTAGACATTAATCCAACATTAAGATAGTGCTGAAGACGACCGGGAAGATTCAGCAGGTCAGACAGAGGCTACTGACAGCCCAGAGTCGCCAAAAGAGTTATGCAGATCGGCGACGATCTGAGCTAGAGTTCCAGGTTGGAGATTTTGTCCTCCTGGAGGTATCCCCATGGAAAGGGGTGATCCGGTTCAGGAAACAGGGCAAGCTGGGGCCCCGATACATTGGTCCTTTCAGAGTGATCGCCAGAGTAGGTAAGGTAGCTTACCAGATGCTGTAGAGTTGAGTCAGATTCATAACACCTTCCACGTGTCTCAGTTGAGGAAGTGTGTAGCCGATGAGACGGCGGTGGTGCCATTAGAGGACATTCAGGTGGATGCGAGCCTAAATTATATTGAGAGGTCGATTGCGATCTTGGATCGGAAAGTGAAGGTTCTGAGGAACAAAGAGGTGCCCCTGGTTCAGGTACAGTGGCAACATCGGAAGGGGTCCGAGTGGACATGGGAGCTGGAGTCTGAGATACGAGAGCAGTATCCAGAGTTATTTCCGGAGCATGACTTCGAGGGCGAAGTCTGATTCTAGTGGGGATAATTGTAACATCCTGACTCCCAGGTATTGCATTTATTTATTTAATTATTCATTTTTGGATTTAATGAGTGACTCGACGAGTTGTGTGTCTGACTCGTCGAGTAGAGTTGGATTAGTCATGTGGGTTTAATTACTGACTCGACGAGTCAGAGAGCCGACTCGCCGAGTTGGCTCTGTGTGAGGAAACCCTAAATCCCCGGGTTTGGGGCCTATTTAAGGTAACTTATGTCCTCATTTCTGCCTCACCAGCTATCCAACTCCCCTATGTGAAACCCTAATCGGCCATTGAGCTAAGAGAGAGTGTTTGAGCTAATATCTGAGTGTTTTGGTGAATCTTTTGGAAGGGAAGAAGTGAAATACAAGCAAGGAACGAGGAGAGGCTGTGGGATCCAATATTCTTTCACTTGGAGCATCTGTTGGAAGGTAAAATCCATCACCTTGCTCATAATGTTGTTTAGATCTTGCTTATGAGGAACTTTTGGGGTTTTTCCATATTTCCTCGAGATTTGGCATGACTTGTGCTTGCCAAGCATTGAGACATCAGATCTGGACCTTGTGAGGTCCATAGAGTCCAAAAGGTCCCAGCTTTATTCAGCCATGAAAGAGTTATTGTGCTTAAGCACCTTAGTTAGAGCTTTTAGTGGCATTATGGAGCAAATATGCCATGCATGAACGTAAAGATCGAAGCTTTACGTGATATTCGAACCTTGGGAGGCTAGATCTAGAGTTTGGAGTGGTAGATCTGCCTTAAAAATGTATGAATAAGATTTTGACTTAAGGGACTCGGCGAGTCAATGAAGTGAAATACATAATTCAGGTTGACGATTGTCTGAATTATGTGGAGAGGTCAGTTGCAATTTTGGATTGGAAGATGAAGGCCTTGCGCAACAAGATGGTGTCTTTGGTCAAGGTTCAGCGGCAACATCGAAAGGGTTCGAATGGACTTGGGAACCCGAGGCGGAGATGCGAGAGCATTACCCTGAGTTGTTTTCGTCTACGAACTTCAAGGACGAAGTCTAATTCAAGTAGGGGAGAATTGTAACATCCAAATACCTGGAGGTATTTAAATTAAATGTATTTTGGATTTTGGATGGACCACGTCGTGGTGAAGGCATCCCACGACATGACAATGGTCGTTGTATCACCGTTTTTAAATGACCACCATGACGAGGCAGCCTATATCCACGATGTGGTGGCAGTTTAATGAGAAACCCTAGTCTCCGGGGTTTTTGCCCCTATTTAAGGGAATGTGTGGCTAGGGTTGCTCACCCTCAGCCTCCATCACACTCTCTCAGCCTCCAAGCAAACCCTAACCTCCAACTTGCTTTCTAAGCCTTTCGTGTTGATTTTTTAGGTATTAGAATAAGAAGAAGTTGACATTTGGGATTGGATTCGGCAAGAAACTCTTCTCATCTTCTTGTTGTGCATCTTATGGACTTTTGTAAGTCCTCAAGTTCCATGCTTTTTAGTTTATTATGCATAGATCTAGGTTTCTATGCCTTATTCTTCATGTTGGGATATATTGGAGTGTTGGGATTCCATAAAGTTGTCAACTTTATGGATCCCCAGAGTCCCTTTGGGGTTAGGAGTGTTGGATCTGAAATTTATTAGAGTTTTGAACTCTTGCATGTGATCTTGGCCCTTTTTGCTCTATTTTGACCTAGTTTGAATTCAAGACGTGGATTGGACATGCATGTCTATAAAGCAATCATTTTTATGGTTCATTAGATAAGAGAACGCCTTATGGTAAGTTTGAATGGTTGGTTTGATGGATTAAGAGCTTATTAGATTAAGCTGGTCTGAACAGTCACCACAACGTGGTGAATGGGTCACCACGACGTGGTGTATGGCTGCCATGTGACTATTTTGTCCTATAGTCCCCACGACGTGGCTAGAGCTAGCCATGACGTGGCGACTGGCTAAGTTGACTTATTGGCTTTGACATTTGGCCAGGGTTTTGACCAAGTTCGACCTGAGGGTATTTTGGGTATTTTGGAAAATATTTTGAGACAATATCACTATTTGTTGTATAGGTGACCCGTAGAGTTAGTATGCGGAGTTGTGGTGTGATAAGCTATCTTTTCAGATTGAGTGGTGAGTTTTCCTCACCATACTCGTGGGTCGAAGGCACCAATGTCGACCCTCTAGATTGTGTATCCTGGTTTATATGATGTTTTTATGATGTAGTGATCTGTTAGATCTGTATCCTGGTATATAGGATGTTGCTATGCGGTAGTGATCTGTAGGTCTATCTATGTGTCTGCTGAACTTGTTATATGTATATCTGTTGCTAGTTATTTATGTTATTGGTTATGTATATGTCGACATGATATGGTGGGTTTGAGACTGTGCTGCTTTGTGTTGCCAGTCAACAAACCAGGGCATTCTAACCTAAAGGTTGTGGGACGGGGGTAATCCAACCGAAAGGTTGTGGGCCGGAGCATTCCAACTGAAAGGTTGTGGGCTGGGGGGTAATCCAACCGAAAAGTTTTGGACCCGATATCTGTCTGATTATATGTTTGTGTGGTGGTACTTTGGGGGAACTCACTAAGCTTTGACTTACAGTTTCACTTTATTGTTTCAGATACTTCAGATGACCGTGACAAGACGCATGCGTGATCATGCACATCCTTCAGATTTATGTTATTTGGATATCTGGAACACTCTGATTATTGAATAACACTTTTGAAACAATGGTTTTGTAAACATTTATGGTTATTTGGAGGTTTTTGAAAAATTTAAATTTACTCTGATTTTCTGGATGTTACAATTAATCACTTAGAATTTAGGGAATTTACCTGGGAACCGAGCGTTTCATTGAGCTTCCTACCAAAACATGAATGTTGGAAAAGAGTATTTCATGTCGTTTGGTGTTGTAGTTTACCAAGAATATCGACACTAATGACACGTTTGCATGACATAGTGAGAGACATGTCTAACGGACTGTCCCGAATATCCAGCCAAGTTAGTAAAAAAAAATAGAGTTTGTTCCGGATTATTACGGGCATTTTTGGACGATTGTTCTTTGCAATCCATATTGTTTTCCGCATTACGAAATATAGCAGTTCATTTTAAAGCAGTCAAAAGATTAGCTAAAGGCAATGAACAAGACCCTATAGTAGTTTTTAAGTTATAAGAGGGTCAACGGGTGAAAAATAAGTAGCTTTGTAACGTTTTGGATACGAAATAAAAATCCATTACAAACATGTTCTTCACATTCTGGACACGAATGAAAATATTTCGAACTATGTTTTTTTAATTTGTTACTACTCCACAAAAAACACAACAAATAATAAGTAAAGGAAGCAAAAACCAAAAAAGTTTCAACCCATACTTTGCCAAACTTTGCCGATAAGTCTGAGATGTCGTGTTTCTCTGCGTACATTCTGGAATTGCATTAAGTATGGGTCCACTGAGTCCATAACCCATTTCTTAATGGGCCAGGCTAACATTTATATTTGGTAAAGAAAAGAAGAAAAAGTTATCATTTTCTGAATATTACAATTGCATTTCTCTACCCATAACAACACACTTACATTTAGATAGCAAAACTTAAGTATGTTGATATTATGTGTAAAAAAAAAAGTACATTCCTATTGGTAAAAAGTAAAAACCCAATTCAGAATCACTAAGTCACATTGTTAGACAAGACATTCCAACAACAGTAAAGAAAATAAAAGTACAATTACAATCTTTTCAAGCTTTTCTTTCTAGCATCAATCTTCTTTTTATCACTTTGCACTTTCACCATTTCCTTCTTCTGTGTTGCCAGTGGCGGCAGTGCACCAGATCCGCTGCTAACTCCGATCTCCACCACTGGATTCACGGCGGCACTTGGCGGCACCTCCTGACCTCCTCCTCCTCCCTTCATTGTATTCGAAGACAGAGCCAATGGAGTTGCCACCACCACACCTGATCCCATGTTTTTCTGGTCAACATTTTGACCAGGTGTTGACTGGTCAACCTTTTGACCAGGTGTTGACTCAGACACCACCACTGTCTTCAACTTTGGTTTTGGCTTCAAAGCATGGATTCCAGTATACAACCTTAAAAAAATTTATTCAAAAAGAAAATTATTTTCTTAAATCTTAAAGATAAAAGTTGGTTGCTATAATAGGAAGAAACAATGGTGATGCTAAGTCGCTGACCTGGCATGTCTAGCATACTCTTGGTAATCTTCTAGAAGCATTTTCCCAGCCTGTTCATTTAATGCTGATTCTGGAAATGGCTCAATGAGTAAGCATCGAATTACCTATAACAATATAAAAATATAATTATTATTTGTGTAAAAATATAATTATTACTTATGTGTAAAAAAATAATAATTAGTAAAGAAATGTGAGTACTTACAACTAAAACATGACGTAAGCCAAGACTTGGGTTCCAATCCCTTTTCAATGTGTTTACACAGATCTCACCATTCGTTGCAATATTCGGATGAAATATTTTGGTCAAGAAATAACCTAAAAATATAACACAATATAATATTTTTTTAATATTTTAATTAAAAGTTATATGTATATAGTAAAAATCGAGTGGAATTGACAAACCTTTAGGAGGTGAATGAGGGAAGTCGCGAGAAAGAATCAACTTCATGCGAAAAACACCACTTTCATATGGAGTCCCAGCTGTATGAGGAAGGGTATTTTAGTCAATATAAATAGATAAAACACAAAATAAGAATCATGTGTATATATATATATATATACCCGGGCCTTCGATATCTGCATATATTGTTGAAAAATCATCATCATTTACACCAACTTTAATTCCTTCGGGTGGTGTTTCATTAAGATTCCTCAATTCTTTAACTAATTGTTTTATTACATTTGGAGGTAGATTCTCATTGGTAGCCTGTAAAATGTAAAGTAAAAATTTGTAATAATGGATGAGGTTTTGTGTTAAAATGTGAAGTGATGCTGTTATTGGGTGCAAGTGAGTGAGGTATTGTGATGTTGTGTGTGTGGGGGGGGGGGGGGGGTACCATTGGCTACCCAAGAGATGCAGGAGTAGAACACAATCTTGATCTAATGCTAATGGCTAAAAGTCAACTCTTCCTGCAATAAAAAGATGGGACGCATCAATTATTAAGTAAATGTGTTGAATTATTAATATTTATTAACTCTTGATTATTTACATGTTGGTGTTTGCAGTTGAAGATGCTTTTTTGTGATTTTTATATGCTAGAAATGGTAGGTGAAGACATACCTAACCGGAATTTTGTAATAAAAAGGAGAGGTAAAATATGGAGTAAATCGTATTTTTTTACATCCTGGTTTCTTTTCAGAATTATTATGCATGATTCTCAGTTTTTAATATATATGTATGAAGTATGAACCCTAAAGTTCATGATAACTAGAGAAAGCATGAACTATAAGGTTGGCATATTAACAAACACTTGGTGGGCATATGTACAAAAGTTCAGGTTAGTGTTTCCAATATCGGAAAACCTAATCTAAAGCAAAGATGGCAACAATGACGCAATTCACCTGATCAGATCTTTTATGGACTAAAAGGGATACAATAACTTTATACGAAAAGGGGAAAAGGTTATTCCGTTTCAATCAAAGACAAATGATACCAAAAGAGGAACCCTAACTGAATCATCAAATACCCAACACAGATTACCTCTTGAATTCGCAACAACAATACTTCGAGTTCACAAAAGAAACAGCAATCTCATCCAAAATTAACTGATAATCACCAAAGATCATAAAAACCCCAGTTGCAAAAACACATTAATTCATGAAATTCATCACGCAAATTACCTGAAAATGAGAGCCGTTAGTGGGTCTGTACACTGTGGAAACAGAATCAGTAGTCGTATACTTCTGACGAAAATTTATGTTGTGTTGACGTGTATGTTGCGTACATGGGCTGGATCCAGATAGATATACTACAATCTTCTGAAGATTGGACCGTTGAGGGTTCATACATGGCTTTCTGGAGTTTCATGTAGACCCCTTATACTATGGATTATATGCATATATTACCCCTTCATCTACGATCTGGTTGAATTATGTAACTATCAATAATATGGGTAGTTTCTGCAATTTAATCCAATTTGGGGCTCAAATTTAGATTTTGTTTTCATGCCACGTTTATCTTGAAGTGACAAGGACTTGAGGCACGATCATCAAATCGATGAATATCGTTAGGTTGGGGTGAAAATAACAAGAAAACGAACTAACTTTTGAACATGATAACAATAAGTAGCATTTGTCTCGTATGGCTACCAAACTATTGAGCATTTTCAAACTCAGAACCCAATTCTAGCTAAATTGAGTTGGAGCTTGAGTACAAAAACAAACTCAAAAGATGGTAGTTGGGTTCAATTTTACAAGAACTTGACTAGAACACCTATACTTTTCAATCTATATGTAATGTATGTAATAGTAATATGCTTGGGTCGAACTCCATAAGACAAGGTAATGGAGCAATGTTTTATAGATATTTTCAAATTATATGTGCTTTCGATTTGACTTGACTTTATTGAATGTAAGATAACGATGACATATTTTTCTGGTTTTTAATCACAGGTTCTTACTAAGTGAAACTACTAACTCACTGATGTTTTAAAATATAGACAAAATTGCAAAAATGGTCCCTGTGGTATGCATTTTTTTTGGGTTTTAGTCCAAACCTCGACTTTTTTGGATTGATGGTCCTTTTGGGCTGGTTTACATGCAGTTTTGGTCCCTGTCCAAACTAAAAAGACTATCATACCCTTAATGAATTTAGTTTTCATTTTTCTTTCACTTTTTAAAATTATTATTATTATTAAATATAAAATTTGTCCACCTCTCTCTCTCTCTCTCTCTCTCTCGTGTATAATCATCTTCTTCCTAAAAAAACCCACACAGCTTCTTGTCAAAATTAAAACTCAGACAATTTCACACATACATACACATTGTGGTCTCTCATCTTCTTCATCAATACACACCTATACTTAATGGAGAAAGCTTCAGTGAACCTATCTCTCTCCCCTCTCTCTCTCCCTCTCTCTCTCTCTCTCAATCGGCCACTACATCCCAGAATACATACCATAACATCCATCTTCTTCAATCTCATACATCAATCTATCTTCTCCTCCACCTCTGCAAGATTCAAATCTAAATAACATTAAATCACCGACAACAATCTACAAGATTTCAACACTTATTAGCAATTCGATGATTGGTATGAAGAATAATAGGCATACTTGATGGGGGCAGCTTATGCTGCCGGCGACGGGAAAAGGGACCTCTGGTCCTTGGTTTTCATCTGATCGAGAAGGCTAATCACGAACGGCGTAGTGACAGGGAAGGCTCGGGGGTGGTAACGAAAGCAGCAATGGCTGCTTATATAGCTCCTGCGCGTCTTCTGTCTTGGAAGGAAGGGGCGAAGGTGGGGAATCAAAAGGGGGATGCCGCCTCCGATGTTTTCTCTGGGGAAACACCTACTTCGGTGGTGGGTTCAGGCCAGGGAACGAAGAAGAAATGGAGGATCAAAGGGGGAAAGGCATCAGCGATCGCAACAATCTTCAGGGGGAGTCAGTGGCTATGATCGACAGGTGGAAAGGGTGGAGCAACAAGGGGTTGTTGCCTCGAAGTCTCGTCGGAATTGGCCATCACCCGAAGGAGAAGACAGGCGAAGTAGAAGAGGCAGCTGCCTCCTGTTCTTCTTCTTGATGGCAACAAAAAAATTGAATGAAAATAAGGGTGTTTGGAGCTGGTTTATCTCATCCAAGCTTTGGGTGTGAAGAAGGAGAAATGGGTTCGAGATTTGGGTTGTTGATTTGGGTTCTTATTTTGGTTTACAACTTCGATTTTCATCAGAACAATGGTGGTTTCAAGGTGTGATCGGGGGAGAAAAACGACTGTCAAATGTGGGTGATGCAGAGAGAGAGAGAGAGTGGGGTGTGAGCCCCATTTTATTATTAATAAAACATTAAATTAAATAGAAAAAAATATAAAAAATATATCAAAAGGGCAATTTAGTCATTTCAATTTCCGGAGGGACCATTTTCACATACAAACTAGTCCAAAAGGACCATCAATCCAAAAAAGTCGAGGTTTGGACTAAAACCGCAAAAAAAAATATACGACAGGAACCATTTTTGCAATTTTGTCTAAAATATATGAAAAAATTCGACTGTTTTCCTAACACGGTTAATACATATAAGTTTTGTTGACTATTTAAATGAAACTACTAACCTTACGGTCGACAATGTTACAAAAAAGACTTAATGAATTCGTAATGATAGTTATTGAGAACGATATATTGGGAAGTATTTGATTATAAATAGTTGGTGACCAACTTTGTTTTCAAGAATGTTTAGAAAAGTCTCGCAATTCATGTAACTATTTAAGATTATATATCTTATTATTGTTCTTTTATTTTAATTGTTTATATAACATTTATCAACTTACGGTAGTATTACCAAATTTTTGCCTATATAACTAAATATCATGTTTAGGGGCCCATTTTTATTTTTCGCACAAATTCTTAAAATCAACGGGATCCCTTGATTATTTGGAGCCAAAGGGAATTTATTGTAGATTAGAACACAAATAAGCTCAATTAAAGTGGAATTTTGTCAACCAATGGTTCATAGAAGATCAGAGATCAAACTGGCATAGGAGTATGTAAATGAACTTGGTGAATCGGTCATATGAACCCCTAGTGGACCTATCATCCACATCTTTTATATATAGATATATATAATATATAATATATATATATATATATATCTATATATATATAAATCTATATATATATATATCTATATATATATATATATATAGTCCTTCACCATGCATCCCATCAAAAATTGATGCAAACTCTTGGGTCTTGGTGACCACTGGCCTCAACCAACATACTCCTCCACCATTACCTTAGCCCTTCGGATTGAGCTGTAAAATCCATGTGCCATTTCTCCTTTTGAGGTTGATTTGTTTTGAAAATTTTGGCTAGGGCACCCTCATTTTTTGCTATATATTGGCAGCCAACACAAAGGGTTAGATCCAAGAATTTTAGAATAAAGGAGACTTACATAGGTTCTTATTAAAAAGAAAACAATGAAACATAATGCAACATACTTTTTCTTAGAATATTCTAACCATAAAAAATTCTTAAACCAAGTTTGATGAAAAGTACACATACAACCGTTAGGACCCCGAGAAAGGAAATGATACTTCGATGTATGAAGTTGATATGGTCTCCATTTAATATATAATTGTCTAATTTCATGTCTAGAATCATGAATAAGCTTACCTCTTTTAAATTTGACATACAAGTTTTTAAAGTTCAAAGTTAATTGGCTCTTTGATATCACTATTCATTTCACCTGTGAGATTATTAGGGTTGTTTACTATTCAGATAAAACCGAATTATCCAATTGGACAATTTGGATTGGACTATTTGGTTTGGATATTCGGATTTTTGGATTGGTTTTCAACAAAACCGAATTATTATTTTGGATTTTGGATTGGTTTTGGTTTATAAAATAAAAACCAAATAGTCCAAAAAAACCGAATAAACATTTATTATTTATCTATTTATAATATATATCTATAGTTATTTATTAATTTTGTAATTTTTTTGTTCAAATAGGTTCAAAACGTTTCACCCGATAAAAAAACATTAATATGCATTTTCTTTCAAAAGTTTTCTATCTATAAAATATTTAACTATAATATATCTTCTTATTAGTTGTTTATATATTTCAAATCACAACCAAATAATTTGTGTTTGCTTCTTGTGTAACGTTGGGTAATATTATAATTATATATCGTATTAAAATGTTTTGGTTTTTGAAAACCGAATTATAAAAACCGATCCAACCGAATTGTGATTGGATCGGATCGGATCGGATTTGAATTTAGTTTGGATTATTCGGATCCGTGTTTTGAAAACCGAAATCAATTTGGATTCACTTGATTGGATCGGAACAAACCGATCCATCCAAACGAACACCCCTAGAGATTATATTATGAAACATCTCACAGGATGCAATTGTGAGTCATGAACATATCATTTTTGTTTAAAAAAATCGATGTTCTTTTTTTTTCTCATTATTTAGCATATGATTATAAGAAACCAATCATAATATCAATTACAAATTATGTTCTTAAAAGCATGTTAAATATAAATTACAGGAAAATTACAAATATGAACTACACAAAAGTTGAAAGTACTATATGTTCGTGGAGGGTTGAATCTAAGTTTTGTAAATCGCAATAGTTTGAGGCGTAATATAAGTTTATTAATGTGTAATGTTTTGTTGTGTAATTATCGTTTACCATTATAAGGAATGCCAACTAAAAGATATGGGCCTTGGGGGTGTGGGGTATAGGTGGATTACCTATTGAGTTAAAGACTTGAACATGGATTAGGATTTGTGGACTTTAGATGCCTGTGTTTGTCAAACGGACTATTCGTATCCATATGCATGTGGATTCCCATTTATTGATTTTTTATTTTTTTTTGGTTCAAGAAAAAGAAAAGGATCAAACCATTTGTTCCAATTTTTTTTTTTTTTCAAATTCAATAAATGTTGGTTGATCATATAATTCCTTAGAATTCTATGATTGAGAGTATCCTATTTGATTATTATTCGAAGTTGCAATCATATTTTTATTGTGCATTGTGCGATTAGTTTATGTACTATGCTTTTACTTGGAGTTTTGATTCATATTGCGGTTTCTCCAAATAATAATATATTGCCCTCTCATTAACACACTTATACCAGAGCAACGTTAAGTTATTGGTGTTCTATTTGGCAATTGATAGATTATTTTATCGATCAAACTTGTTTATTTTCTATATACATTGTTGTTTGTTATATATATTATCTCAAGAATTCTTAACCTTATCCCTCAACAATAAGATCAAGAATCATATAGATTAGAGAAACGTCATCCGACATGAATTGGTTGTCTTCTTTCAATCAGAGTTACAGTGTCACACTATGATTAAAATTGGGCCCATTGATCCATGGGCTCGAACAAGAAGACACAGATTCTTCATTTCAGCTGATCTTGTCGTGGGCCACAATACCTGCTTTTTTATTTTGGAAATAATGGGTTTATGATTTTGAAATTGGGTCCATTAAATTAGGGTAAATAATTTTATTATTAATCTATATAACTATATTCGAAATTTTGAACCCAACAATTTTTTTCTTATAAAACTCAATATGACCTATAATAAAATTAGCAATAGAAAACATGGTCTGAATACGAAGTTTTTCCAATTGTTTGGTCATTTTGTTTACGTTAGCTATTTAGTTAATCTAGTACTTGTTCAGTTATTTGTAAAAATAGAAGTAAATATATAATTATGGGTATTCTTTATGCGATAGGAAAAAAAACTAATGACACAAATCCATGAAGCGAAAATTAGATAAAAAATAACCTAAATTAGTCACGAACTAAGAGGATAATAGATTATAGATGTGGCCATCTTTTTAGTTCTAGAAGGTTATTTATTGGAATTCTCAAAATGTTTCATGGAGACTATCGAAGTAAAAATTATTAGGAAGATCATACAAATTTTGAATTAATGTCACCAAAAATATAAAATAAACATTACATTTTTTTTTCATACAATTAAAAATGATAAATAAAATAATATAAAGTTCAAAATTTTATTTATTCTTAATTATTTGCAACACTTCACAACTTAATTTAAATTCGTTTTAAAACTTTGGAATTCTGAAGAAAAACATGTAATCAACAACTCACATGCCCTAACAGCCACACCCACCCTTCACCCTACCCTATCGTTCTTTTTCTACAACCAAACAACCATTTTCTTTCCTTTTGGTGGAATTAATAATATATATGACGACACACTTTCATTTTTTGATATATTTTTTCTACTACATCGATTTTTAATGTCAATGCACATATAGAAGAGATAATACACGTGATTTGCACAAAACAAACTCTTTTTATGGTCTGCTTTAGCCTTTATGCTCACCACACATTCCTGATAAAAGAGAGGAAATATTCTGACCACATGTGGCGTCACTAAAAGTTGAAAAACAATCACTAACTCAAATCATAACGACAGTAACTAATCAACTACCAAAAATAACACAATATAAATCTCCCATGATTTATAAAATAATCATGACATCTGACATATTTAACATGAAAAATTCACATGCAAATCACACAAAACAAACTTTAGTTTATTTTTAAGGTTGGTGTCGTTCAAGAACTTGATAACACCTCCAGTAACTAAACATCTATACAGAAACACAAGTATGGAATAATTGGAATTACTGTTACTTCTAATATTACTACTAATAGTTTAGAAAGAGTAGGCTTCAGTACACTTGGGAGAATCAGCGACTCTAAGAGTTTCTTCAATAAGTTTACGTGCTTTCCTGCTTCGTATTCCAACCCTCATGCTATCACTCTTTTCGATCTTGTTGTATGAATCATCATTCGGTTTCCATATCTTCAAAGACCTAAATCTTATCTTCAGTGACACCTTCAATCTCTCGAAAACCATCTTTGTTGTAAACCTAAAAGAAGACAAACAAGAACAAAAGAATCAGAATTACACATCTACTTATATTTCAGATGTGCATATGTGTACTAGAATCATGCTATCTCTTATGTATCTAATGTAATAAAAGTTATATTTTTAACTAGAGAGAAAAAGAAAGAGAGAAGAGATACGTACCTAAAAAGTAGGTTAGATTGTTCAAATGGTGGAGGGGGAGGGAGAGAGGGAGCGAAGAGACAGCCTTTTATATTTGTATCTCATCTTCTATTTGTCTGTTTTTATCATTCATTTTGTTCCTATTTAATACTGTATTGATATTATATATTATTTTATTTTATATTTTATATAAGCTTTAAAGGTACTTGTTTTGACTAAATGGACCCGTAAAACATAATTTCTATATTTTTTGTAGGGGCAACGGCAAATTTTATATACTAGCTAGAAAAATAATGGTATGACAAGGTTTGCAGTCAACTAATCCAATTCATCATATTTTTTTTCTACTCTTATTTTAAAAACTTAGAGGATCATACAACCTTGTAAAAAATATCAGTTTTTCTAGACTTAGTCGTTGCAAAGACAATATTGTTTCAATAAATCCATATGACCCAAACAACAACGACCGCATCAAAAACTTTCCTTTGAGCTTAATTATTCAGCCATGAGATCACCTACACCAACGAAGTAAACATAGGCAATCAAAGTCCCACCATTTGGCGACCATGTGCCAAAATGACTTTGCAAAATCACAACTTGTAAAAATATGATCACCGTCTTGATAACCAAATCGCAAACAAGACAAAGTGTAGACTCAACACATCAATACCTTTGTTAGCCAAATTAACTCGCGGTTGCACTCAATTTAACCTCAACCTCCGAAGAAGAACACTAAGCGTAATAGGGATTAATGAATTCCATTTCGTCAGATTAGAAGTCGCACCCAAGAAACCAGGGGTGAATCTTTATTAGGGCGAGGGGGGGGGGGGGCTGTGGTCCCCCCTGATTTTTAGATTAAAAGTAGCTCCTATACTTTAATTATATATATATATATATATATATATATATATATATATATATATATATATATATAAGGCTTAAAAATATAAAATTTTAGCTGTGGCCCCCATGCTTATCGATTTTTATACATATTATATTCTCCTCCCCCCTCTCCCTAAAAAAATCAAATTTCGAAGCTCCACCCCTGCAAGAAGCTATTGTCTAGCAATCATATAGCAGAAGCTATTAATATCCTTATATTTATATATAAATTTCAAGTGATATCTTGGTATTTAGAGATCTAATGGCATATTTTGTATCCTAGATGGCTGAAAAATTAATGTGATCAAGATATGGTTTTTGAGTAAAACCATATGACACGACGTGGTAAATGGATGACAATGGCGTGGCATGACATGTAATGGGCGCTTGTTTGGATGGACACCACAACGTGGCATGAAGGATGCCACGACGTGTTCACTGTTGCAGCCCAAGCCTATGATTTTTAGAGTTTCTCCCATATTTAAACACCTTAATTCCTGGATTAGGTCATCTCGACCAGCCTCCATCTCTTCATTTCGAAACCCTAGCTTCCCTTCCATGTTTATGAGCTTGGTGGCTTGATCTTGAAGTTGTTTCCTTTATTTGGTGAAGCTTGTGAATAAAGGAACTCTTTCTTGGTGCAAGGAAGCAAAGAGCAAGTCTAGATCCATCTTCTTCTTCAAGTTTTTGAGTCTTTGGCTGTATAAAGCTTGCACCTTAACCTTATTCTCTTGAGATTCATGTTTATGATCCTTGTTGGTTGGTTTTGGTCCCATTCTTGGACGCTCTTGGAGTTTGAGGAACTACAGAGCTTGATATGACATTCTTATGGTATTGGACTTCTGTTAAGTGAGAAAAATGTCCTACTTTGATTGTTCTTGATCTCATGCCCAAGTTTTGGACATATTAAGGACCTAATGGACTTAGGGTTGTAGATCTTGCTTTGGGTAAGGTCCTCATGGATAAAGTTGGAAGGGTAAGGTCCTCATGGATAAAGTTGGAAACTTTATCCATTAAGTCAATGAGAAGGATTAGATATGAAGTTTTGAACCTTGATCTATAAGGATTGTTCTCTTAATGAAGAATTTGGGGATTTACCAGTACCCACGACATGGCCAAGGAATGACATCATGTGGTGGATTCCAACTTCATGATTGTTTTGTCCCGTCATACCCACGACGTCGCGAAGGAGGGTCAACAACGTGGTGATGCACTGCATGTCGACTGTCTTGTCTGGACATGTCCACGACGTTGTCAAGAGGTCACCATGTCGTGGTGGCTGTTGATATAGTTGACCGTTGACCACTGACTTTTGATCGCTTGACCTTGGGTCAAACTTGGATGTTGTGGGTTGTGGATTAAGGATTTATCTTAATATGGTCTTATTCGGTTTGCGGGATTGATCAGTGCAAGAAGTGAGAGTGTGGTTATGCTTCTCCGGTCCTTCAGTTCAGGTGAGTCTTCTCACTATGTCGTATATCCCATTGTATATCCTTTTGTATGTTAGGATAGTGGTATTGTTAGTGTACAAGTATGATAGTTGACTAGGATCACTACTTGCTATGAATATATGATAAGGGACACTTGATGTCATGATATGTTAGACTGGTAGGGTCTTGCATGTTGATTGTATGATACTGTTAGGAGTTAGTTTTGGTTAGGGTAACTGGGGAAGGCCAGTTATCAGGATTATGTATGATTGACCAGTGAAGGACTTAATTGAGAAGTGGTGAATGGTACGGTAACTAGGGAAGGCTAATCACCAAGGGTATGTAATATGTCAGGCTATGTAAAATGTGTAAGTTATATGATTGTTTGATAAGGATATTATGTAAGTACAAGATTCAGTACGCGGACAAGGTCTGAAAACTCAAACCTTGAATTAACTTTTAAGATCAATACCCGCTACTAATATATTGGTCCAGTCAAGTATGGTAAAACTAGTCAAGACTTGAAGATGATATTCAACAAAGTGTTCAACAAAATATTTAAGAGAGTAAAATGAGAACGAGCAAAGTAAAGATAATTTAAGAACAAGTAAAATAATAGTGAAGAGATTTGACTTGCAAGAGAATTTGTAATTTATGTGAAGAGAATAATTATATTTCTTACTTGCAATCCATGAAGCATCATCTCCTTAAATAGTAAAGGAGAGACATAGTACAAAACGACTGCAGAATTATGTAATGTAGTCCTTCAAGAAATTGATTGCAACACTATAAGTTCCGATGCTTGAGTGATTAGTTTGGCAATATCGGAGGTGAGCAGCAATTGTGAGAATGGCATTGGGATTGATTGAGGGAAAGTCGGCATCCATGAGAGTGAGAGTTGCTTCTTTATTCCGAGAGACATAGTATCTGTACAACATACAGTTGAGATCGAATTTGCTCTAAACCTTGTTTCCAAATCCAACAATCTTTGTAATCCGCTTCCGAGAACACACTTCTTTTTGAGGACATGCGCTAACGGAGTAGAAAGTTATCAATCTCTCACGCTCTGTCCTGATGATTGTTTGTGTATCATCATTCGGATGAAGAGGATCATACTTGATGTAGAATTTGCCATGAGGAGAGATTGGAAGATCAACTTGGTCAACATCCTGTGTTGGAAGATCATAGTACATGAAGGGCACGAAATCAATATCGTGAATAACTTCTTCTCGGAAAAGGGGAGATATGCCCAGCATCAGATTCAGATTGTCTTTTAGTGCTTGAATCCTGATGCTTTCTTCCAAGGCTTGATTTATTTGTTCTTGAGACCATCCCTCATACTTTCTGAACGTCCTCACTGAGTTGTCTGGTTTAGTAGCAATCTTCTTTCCTTTGTCTTGAAGAGGATTGTTTAGGTCATAGATGATTATTGGACTATTTCGGAAATGATGAATTATGGTATAGGAGGAACCAAGGGCTCTTTAGGGATATCATCAGGTTTCTGGGTTGGAGAACCTTCACTGATTTGAGTTATTCTTGGAGTAGGGATTGGTGGGAGCATGGATTGTTTATCTTGGAAGGCATCAACCGTTAGTTTGGTCTTGAGCCTCATCATTTCACGACTTCACTTGAGCACTTCTGCCAAGGATGATGGCCAAGAGATAGCGGAACATATCCTCTTTTCTTCTTCCGAGAGAACCTTCATTGGTTTTTCCCTGATAGCTTGAAGTCCTAGAAATCACCTTTCTCAATAGGTTCAATGATTTCAACCTTAAGAGAGTCATCATCGGTCGATTCAGCTCAGAGTGAAAATTCCAAGACGAGCTTCCAGTGGATTGAAATTCCGAGACGGGCTTCCATTGGATTGTTCTTTCTCTTTGACTAGCTCTTTCTCCCCCTCTTAGATTGGAAGTACAACATCCGATGCAAGTCTGGCAGTGCTTTGAAAATCACTTAGGCGTTTAAACACTCTCTGAAAGCTCATGTTTATATGTTTGGAGAGAGAGTCATAGGCTTCGACGGTGGGGCCTTGAGCTTTTAGATGGTCAAACAGCGAACCCAAAATCGAGAACATTTCATCAAACTTGTTGTTTGGAACATCAACGATATTACATCATGCTTGGATCAACTTAATAAGGACTTGTTGCATAATCAGATTCAGCTCGTCCTTCTTCTGAATCTCCTTCTCGAGCCTTTAGTTTTTCTTTTCATGACGAACATGAGTTTGTTTGATCAGTTCGTTGATTGCGCTGATCATGTTGTCATGAATCTTGAGCATAGTAGTGGTGGTGGAGATATGGTAATCAAGGTTGTCATTGTATTTTTTTTCAACTTCTTCCAGGGTATGACCGAATCGAAGAGAAATGAGTTGGTCAAGTTGATTTGCCCAATCGAGTTCCAAGGGGCCAGCTTCTTTGATCTCGAAGAGCGATTTGAGAATGAGTTCAAGTTTGGAGTCGAGGTTGGTAACCTTCTGATCAATCTTGGAGTCAAGTTGATCTAAAGACTTGTCGAGTGAGTCAACCTTGGAAACAACACTAGAAACTTTGTCTTAGAGTTATAACAAGGCAAAAGGATATGCGTTGTTTTCATTCGAAGATCCTATGTCCGAGGTAGAACTCTCAGACTGTTTATCATTGTCATCATCAACATCATCATCTTGTGGTTCCGAAGGAGTGGGATTATCAGCTGGATTGGTTTTGGTTTCATTGCCTTGATTCCCTGGAGTGTTGGCATCAACATTTAATTCTTCTTCTTCTTTCGAAGGGGAGGAGAAAAGGTCGATTCGTATGCCGGTTTGGAAGAGGAGGGCTTCTGTAATGACTTGAAAGTTGATATGGGCATATTTAGTTATAAAATTCATGCATTATCTTAATACTCTATGTTGATTTTATCTCATTTAATGAACAAAAGATGCTTAATTAGTTTTAAAATTTCATTTTCAGCAATAAAGACATGCTTGGAAGGAAAAGGAAGTGGAATTGGCGATTGGAAGCTTGGATCTTGGACTTTGAAGAAAGAAGGATGTTGGTGGACAGCTTGACCCCTCGTCAATGTTTTGGCCATATCTCATGAACCGTAACTCCGATTGACGAGATTCAAAATGTTCTGAAACGGACTCGACGAGTTAGGCCTTAACTCGACGAGTTGGTCAGAATGTTCCCGATTCGAAGATGCCTTGCCGTACACGCTGCATACGCGGATTATCGAAAAAACTCATCGAGTTGGTCTTAAAAACTCGAAGAGTTGGTTTGAT